TCTTCAAAATCATCTTCAATTACAATGTTTTCCTATACATATAAACTATTCTGTGACCAAGTTACACGTTTCTTTAGGCTACCGATCACGTAAAAAAACGCAATTTTACAGGGCGAACAGTCAAAATTTTGTCCCACATATTTCCACCGCAGAGCGATGACTGTAACACTTTAAATGCACTTTATGCGAGATTTTTCGGTTATAATTAAAATCTACTTACCTCACAAGAAAGAAAAATGATAGTTACTCCTTGAGATCCAAATACAATACCATTTGAATCTGGAATGATCGGAGAAATCTGCCTCAAAAAGTTGTATCAGCGACAGGCGACGACGCCATTTTCGAAAATTTTGTGCATTTGCGCGCTTCTTTCGTCGTGACGTCATAATGGCCATGATCATAGGGTCAGCCAAATCTGACGTGTTCACCTCTCCCTCCTGTTGCGGACCTACTTTTCTTTTTCTTTTGATCGAATTGGTTGCAGCCGCTGATTGTTTGTATTGGTGGCGCACTTTTGAAAGCATGTGAGCCGAACTCAACATGGCTTCTCGCCATGTCGATGTTAACGAACGCCGGCTTCGGCCAGTTTATGGTATTAGGTTTTCTTTACTGCACTTAGAAAAGTCATAATTTTAACCAAGAATGATTATTTGATTGTGTTTATGCTGTATTCGTAGATGCTTTGGATAGCATGAACAACAAACTGGCCATCCAACTTGCAGATAAAATTCTGAAGAAGCAAAAGGATTTACATTGTGCCAAGGTAACTACAGACTGTAGAAATCGTGGATAGCGATAATTTAACACTAGCAAAACACCTGATTAGTTAGACGATACATTCAATACTTTGCACGACATGCAGGCTTTGAAAGGACTGGCTTTATTGCGATCAGGGAAGACTGCAGATAGTGAGACATTGATGGAGGAAATAAGGGGAGCTCAGCCAGCCGATGATCCTACACTTCAAGCAATGACAATCTGCTACAGAGAGATGCAAAAACGTAAGGCTTCCACAACAGTGTTTTTTATCTATTTAGTTATCTATTAACATACCCGGTATCTTTTGATGCACCCCTCTATAAACGGATTACAGCAAAGGTCACTAGCACTTTCTTGAACTTGTTTGTAGGTTTACCTTTAATCGTTAATCTTTGTCTTGTAAATGAGATAGTCCAAAGAAAATGGTCTGTACCTTGTTATCACCCTGTTTAGAGACTGATTGGAGAGCAAGCTTGTCAATGACTCTTGGACAAGTTTAGTACCACCCTACATCAATGTACTGGGTAAAATATGTCACTTCCCCAGTTTTGCTAAATCTTTTAGGGTAATAAAATTAGCCAGGGTGTCAATTTACCCAGTTAATTTTCAATGGGTCAGATTTCCAGGCAGTAAGTTTCATGAGAGAAAACATGAACAAAAGAGAGATGTTGATGTTGTGTGCCCTCATTTTATATATTCATTGTGATGAGTAGTTTTTGGGGCCATCCGATTCAGTGATTGGTAGGTTTATCTGAGAGAACTGATTGTTGTCTTTTTTTCTAGCTGAGATGATTCCTTGTGTTTATGAGATGGCATTAAAACAGAACCCAAACAATGAAGAATTGTACTCACATCTTTTCATGGCATATGTCAGGATAGGAAATTACAAAAAGCAGCAACAGGTGAGCTATTAATGAAAATAGGTACTGGAATATACCTCACACAGGTGTTTTCAAGGCTGTACATTAACTAGACACATAAACTGTTAGTGGGTAACTACCAGTGACATTTGTCATGTGAACTTGACAATCTGGCTTATGACCTAGGGGATGGGGAGGGGGGTCACTTGTTCCATGTCTGGGTGTAGGGCTGTCCCACGTAGAACGACACCCTTAATTCTCAATTAATAAATCCAGATTTTTGGCTGAATTTAGATATGGTAAATGTATAATAGCTTCTTTTTGGTATGCTTTGGCTTCATTTAGTCATGGGTGTTTTGGCTTGACTGTGACCTCTCTTCAAAAATATGAACCATGGCTTGACCAAGCTATCCTGATATGCCAACAAAGCATGCCAAAAAGATACAATTAGGTTAAAGACATGTAAATATTTTGCACAAAACTAACAACTGTCTTAAAACCTTGTACTCAGAAATTCATAGGTGCCGAAATATATTATTTTGAAATACTTTATTATTGTCTTTGTAGGCTGCAATGAATCTTTACAAACTATTTTCCAAGAATCCTTATTACTTCTGGGCTGTTATGAGTATTGTGATGCAGGTATTCGTTATAATTGTTGTGCTTATCATATGTATTGAGACTACTTTAGACCATTACGGCATTTTGCGAAAAATGGCAAATTTCATGTAATGTTTCTAAACAACAAGGCTTTAGCTTTCTTATTCTGTAGCTATTTACAAATCCCTCCTAACTTAAATAATTATTGTTCCATGGTATGTTGTTGAAATATCATTAAACGTTTTTTGAGAAACAATACTTTGTAGTATAATGTAGGAGTTCTTAGCAAATCTGGCCCCTGACTGTTATTATTACTTCTGTAAGAAGACATTGCTTGTCCAATGGGCTAACCTGTTACCCCCCCCCCTTCCCCCCCCTACCCTAAACAACAAGGCAAAGAAAAAGCAGTACATGTAAGTATTGCAATGGGTAATCAACTGTGTGAGCAGCACATCATTTATCAGAGAGAGCTTGCACAGAAAAAATCTACATCCTTCAATTAGATCTATATCTTTATAGCTCCACATAATGTTCTGTCCTTTGCAAGGATATTTGAATTCTTGGAAGTCATTCATGTTTTTTAGTTGTGATAACTTTTGTAGAAGCTATGTAAAGTATATTTAGGTATGATGGTTGGTCATGACTGCCAAAGAGACAATTTTTACTGCATCAACTACTAGGAAGGAATGTAACAGGTAGTCTTATTTAATTTGTTGTAGGCTCTGGTGGCCAGTGATAAGAATCTGGGAAAAACCATGCTTCTTCCTTTGGCAGAAAAAATGGTTGAAAAGTTTGTGAACGAAAGTAAAATTGATGCAGAGGCAGGTACAGTCAAGACTGGAATTTTTTTGGCTAAACTTTCTTTAAACCAATTCTACAGATGTTTTATTGTGCTACACAAAAGGAGAACATATTAATCATAATTTTGTCCTGTGTCTTGCCTATGTAAGCAGTTGGTAGAAACCTTTTTTCTACTGCAAGGACACCAAATCCCCTACCCCCCTCTCCTTGACCACTGCTCACTTCTTGTAGGGAATGATGAACTATTCTCAGTTTGTGCTACTAAGCTGGCTTAAGGTCTGAAGCCTTGAGCCTAAAAAAAAAACTTTTCTTCTACTGTACGATGCCAGAAAACAAAGGACAAAGTATGCAAGCAGTTTGGTTAGCAGAAAATGCGTTAATTTGATTCATACCTATCCAATTTATAACTCTTGCTGAGCAAAGCAATGAGGTTTCCTATAGAATTAGAGCACAATTTATTGAATACAAAAAGTGTACTGTGATGTGTGTGGTATGATCTTGATTTCTTGTGCTGACATAATTTGCAGAATGTTTTGCCTTGTAAGATTTAGTACAGTGTATACTGACTGAACCACACATTATACATACCTGAGAGTATCTACAGTTTCATTAGCTGTTTGTGGTTTCATACCATGCAGTATGACTACCAAGTAAATAATTAGTTGTGGTTCAGTTTTTCCCTTGGTACAGTTTGGTAATTAATATTTCATTTGTTCTGGTGTATGATAATATATCATTGTGTAAATATATGAAACAAAGAAAAATACCAATTTGTACCAAGTGTACATATAATTCATTGAACCACAATATACTTACCTGTACTAGTTTAGTAGTGTAAAACAGCTGATCTTTTGGTACAGTCAACTCTCTATAATAACACCTATAAGATGGACACCTGTATAAGACAGACACCTGGTCTTGGTCCTTGAAGCTTTTCAGTCATTTTCGTGGTAGCTAAACTTGCTACAGTGTATAAGACAGACACTTCTCTAAGATGGCCAATGGAGACTGGAAAATTGTCAATGGGCACTTGAGAAGTTCTTTTTTTGGTGAAAAATGTTGCAAAATGAAATTGTAGGTGGTGAATGTCACAGCACTTTGGGGAAGCAAAATTTGTATTACATAGCCAAATAAATGAGTCCCTGTCACATTACCTTAACTCTATATAAGCTGGACACCTCTCTAAGACAAACAATTGGAACCAGTCTTGATGGTGTCCATGATCGTAGTGAGAGTTGACTTTATCTGATGAAAGTCAAACTTGGCATAGCTGACATTTTGCAATATTTATTTAGCAAATGTGAGAGTTTAACCTTACCAGGACCATCAGTTTTAGAAGTTCCTGTTCCAGAGCTTGTCTTTTTGTGATATCCTGGAGGCAGAGGTCCTTACAGCTCTGTGCATGTTTTTGTATTTCAGAAGTTCGTCTGTATTTAATGATTTTAGAAAAGCTAGAGCATTACGAGAAGGCTCTTGGTGTTCTTAGAAGTAATTTAGCTGGTAAGCATTCATGTTTGTATATGAGACATGTTTCTTGTCAATTTCATCTCTTTCAGTATTAACACTGGAATGTGGAAATGCAAACAAACCTTTCCTTTACTTTCACAGTGAAATTAATTAGTTACATGGATGAGAAAGAGGAGAAAGAAGCAGTTTATTTATCAAAACTCTGCAGATGGCATGAAGCAAATTTGGCACTGAAGAAACTAATTTGGAAGAGGTACATTTGCCTCTAGTAATTAATCATATATGAAAACTCTGCTTGTGTTGCATCTGTTCATTTTGCAAACCCTTTTACTTATTTTTGATACATTCGGAACTGCATGTGTTTTATTTTTGTTTTGTTTTTTTGTCAGGCCAGACCAGTGGTCATACTACCAGTCATACTTCACCTCGGCTTTTGCACTGATTAAACAAGGCTGTACACCTGACAAGGAGTCAGAGTAGGTGTTGTTAGCAGGCATCCTTATTACATGTACATGTTGTGGTTCATTTTATTCTTGATACAATTTAGTATTTTCCTTTGTTCTGTTATATGGTGATATATTATTCTGTATGTATGAAACAAAGAAAAATACCAAATTGTACAACGATAAAATTGAACTAAAACCTGTATACATGCATGTAATGCTGATGACTACCTTGGTTTGATTTAAATTACAAAAATATTTAATTCTCTTAATTGCTGTAACAATAGCTTAAATTATGAGATAATGGTATAAATTTTAAATCAGCTTGTTATAAGTTCTCTGAAAGTTTGTGAAGCTGTCCATGGCAACCCTGCGAGTGGGAATGTTCAGGAATCCTCACAGTGATTTAGTCCTGGTAATACTTGGAAGTCCTCCAATAAATGCACTCAGCCATGTCTCAATAAAAATGCAGGAAACATTAACATGTATATCCATTAAATTCGCTCAATGTTATGACAAAAATATATAAAGTATATATATATATGTATATATATATAAAGTAGAAACCAAATGTTTTCGACATAATGTCATCTTCAGGACGAAAAAAAAAACCCTCTGAAGATGACATTATGATGAAAATATATACCATTTTACCTTTTTTAAAATGTTTTTGTCATTAACATGTATGTTTATGCAATCATTTAGTTGTGTCAGAAATATAGCTCTAACACAAATATAACACTTTTGATGGTTAACCAATAACCAAACAACAATACAGTGAAATGCTTGGAGTTGTGGAGGTATGCTAATTTTGAGCATATTCCTGCAAGCCTCCCTTGGTTTTCTGCAGTTTCTGCTTAAAATGCTTTTGACTGTAAGTATTGTAAAGTTATCCATCAAATGGACTTCAGGTATTTTTTCTGAGGCAATGTCATGTTCTTCTCTTGCAGAGAACTTCCTGACTATTCTGTGGAAATGATAAATGAATTCTTAGTGTCTGTTACTGAATTTGAAAAGTCAAAAGACAAAAGAGCATGTAGAGGACCATTTTTAGCACAATTAGAACTGGACAAACTTTGTAGAGAAGAATGTATGTACTCTGATACCAGACAAAGTAAGTTATCATATTCGAATTCTGTGTTTCTTATTATTAACCCTTAATATCGATTTTAATAATGCTTGTTAACTTAGTAGTACTTTATGTGGTTGCACATATTTTTTTTTTTATTTGAAATAAGTTGATACTTAACTTAGTTTATTTTAAAATGGCTAGGTCACGCAATTTTAGGCAATTTCAGCACTGATCAAATGGTCATAGAATCAACTAAAATATCACAAAAACAGCTCAAAACTATAGAAGATCTTAAACAAAACACAGGAAAGCGAAGAAGAGACATGGATGGACAAACTGGAGAGCATTAAAATGGATTGCATTTGGGTAAATTTGAAAAACTTCGGCCCACCTTTTTTCAAATTTATATCAGTTTAGTGTATCAAAATGTCATTTACACAGCTGGAATATCATTCTCAGTTGTTGTGGCCGTGATTTTGCAAATGAAAGACTCTTGCTCTGCCAATTTGACATTTAGAGCTCATAATTAACAAAATTAAACAAAATTTACCTAAAATAGCGTGACCTAGCCCCTTTAATGTTCAGTTTATCCATAGTTGAACTTCCCTGGAAATAATGTAATGTTATACAGTGGAAACCCGATTTAACGAAGACATTGGAGACCGGCCAAATTTGTTCATTAAATCGAGGGTTCGTTATATCAAAAACCTCGATATAACGAATTTGAGGGGCAACAACCAAAATGTTCGTTATATCAAGGTCATAATTAATGACTGATTTGTAACACAGGTGACTTTTGTCATGCAATTCAATGCAATTTTCATCACCCAGAAGTGCTACGTTTTGAGATGCAATATTCATTAAGTATGGTAGCTTTCAGTATCAATTATTTTCACTTTTGAGCAGATGCGCAGCTTTTTGTTTGCAAAAGAGCAACACTTTCAGAGTAGCGATTTAAAAATGTTGCACGATAGAGGTTATACAGAAAATTGTCTATGTAAACAAGGAAACATTGTAATTCGTTATATCGAGGTAGATTTTATGTTTTGGGCTTCCGGATTATGTTCGTTATATTAGCCGGGACATAGAATATCGTTCATTATATCGAGGACTTCATTAAATAGAGGTTCGTTAAATCGAGGTTCCACTATAGCAATAAATTTGCTAGTTACAGATCTCTTGAGGTTAATCTTCTATTTCATGAGAATACAAATTCATTAATGCTGATTGGGGAAATAATATTCACAGCTTTTATGTGTTTTGTCATTTTATTTTCAGATCCCAGTTCCCCTGTAGATTTATTAATAGAATATTTTAAACGGTTTGGAGACAAGCTCTGTTGTTTTTGGGATCTTGAACCTTATTTGTACCTAAATCTTCAAGAAACATCAGCGAGAGAGAAGGTAATGGGATGTTCATGGAACAGTTATAGTTCACATCACTTACAGTGTAGCTTGAATCAATAGCCACTGGTCTAGTTACATTTACTTGCTGTAAGTTTGTGAATTTACTAGCCTTCTTTATATTACACTCAATCTAAGTACTGGGAGGGACATGGTACTAATCAAAGGAAGATAAGATATTTCAAGAAAGAGTACTAATCATTAAGGGATACTCACTTGCTTAATTACTGTTCAACGTGCCAACTCCAGCCTTCTGTTTCTGGGTTAGTAGAAATGATCAGATGTCTATATGTGGTTTGGCTTTTTGTTGGCTGATGGGTAGCAAATTGAGAATATGGTCTGCCATGCTGCTTTCCATTGTATAGTACAGTGTATGTCGTAACATAATGGGGACTAGAGAGGTTTTAGAGTGAGAATTGGTGATCAACAATTTTCTGACATCAGTGTAGAATACTCAGATTGAGTGAAAGCAGAACTTTGAATTCCATGATATCACAATCACCAGTAACATGGAACAAAAGATTCAAAAGACAGTAAAAATCAAACCCATACTGAAGCACATGGACTACACTTTTTTTGTTTATCAGATTAATCTGCAGAGACATGTAATTGTGAAGTGTATCGGAAGGCTTCAATTAATTAACATCATATCAGAATGCTCTTGAAACTAATACTGTACGTCTTACCAGTTATGATGAATTTTGCTTTGTTTGCTTGTTTCAGTTTGTTGAAGTGTTAAAGACTACCCTGCCCTCTGTTAGTGACGAAGAGTCAGAATCATCTCATGTATGTTGTACTACCTACACTTTGCCAGAAATGGCAGTTGACATTATATGTCCGGGCCTGGTTGACGTAAAATATCATTTGTTGTTATTGTCAGGTGTGGCGGGAGGGGGTGGAGGGGTAATGTTATCAGCCTTATCCTTTGGATTTTGATTATAACACTTAACCCACCCTTGATTATTCTGGATATGATGTGAAACTCCTTTCAGTCATAATATTATTTTTTATGACCTTCATGAAATAAGTTATGCAAAAACAAAATTAATGGAGTATAAATTGACAACAAGAGCCACCATATTCATGAATCAGGTGTGTGCATTTCTGAAAGCTCTGTAGTTTTCCATTAATGTGATAACAAACCGAGAGATGTTTGAATATAAAGAGTAACCTGTAATTTATTGCTTAAGTTTTGCTAAATACTGAGCACTGATTTGTTTAATACTGTTTGTTTTGTACAGGGTTCAGTTGTATCTTCATTTGGGGCCCAGATTTTTTTTTTACAAATCTTACCATTTAGTCATCTTGTTAAAAATAATCTCATCTTTATTCTTTACAGATTAAACTTATGCTGAGAAAGCTAAATATGGAGCAGATTTCAAGACATTTAGGATTCCATAGTTGTCTGTCCTCTGATGAAAAGATTGCTCTTTCAAAGGAATATATGAAGCAGCATGGAGATGGTTTGGTTTATGGTCAGTAAGCACCTTGCGGGGTTATGCCAACAGCCCAATACATTTGGCTGCATAAGTGAAACATTCTCTAGATATATTAATTTATGGATTGTCTTTATCCCAGGTCAAAACCTGTCACCAACTGAACTTCAGTACAGTGATGGTTTCGCACAATTAGCCACCCATCTTTTGTTAGAAGTAAACTGCGACACAGGTGATGTTACTTTGTGATGGCAATCTGTCAAGTACTTTTACCATTATGAACAGTAATGATAACCTTTGATTGCAGGAAGAACAGATGTGAACTGGTACCTTCTGATCATGTTAGAGAGTGCTTTAAAGGCAAGTCCTTCCAACCATCACTTCAAGCTGTTGTTGATGAAGGTGTATTGCTCAATGGGTAAGTTTTCTCTTTTTTGGCAAACAATGCAGTGATGTTTGTTCAGGTTTTTTTTACAATCAGATATTTCTTTTAGGGGGTTCTTTAAACTAATATATAGATTTAGCCAAGCCTAAAAGCAGAGCTCCTGGGCGAGATTGTTCAAAACCCGATTAAGATAACCCAGGTTAAGTGAAAATTTTGATCTGAATTTTGTGGTTTTGCAGTGAGGTTTTCTCTATATTGTTTGACCTTCTGTTTTGAGTTTGAATAATCTCAAAATACACAAAACAAAAGGAGTGAAAAACATTTGTATACAAGAAATATTTATACTTCTCTTAACTTAAATCCTGGGTTAGCATTAACTGGCTTCCGAACAACTGGGCCCCGTTTACAACAAGTTAACCTGGCATGAGCCCGCCATCCAATAGGAAACTAGCACTTGGTCAGCGGCAGTGACCTCAATGAGCTCTAAGCTTGAGCCCACGATATGGTCACATGATACTGGTCAGCGGATACCAAGTTTTGACAGGTGTCAATTGACCATAACATAGATGTTCAATATCAAAGAAAGAGGCTATAAATCAAGGCTGTATATGTACATTGTATGTTTCTGTCAACCTTTTAGCTGGAGTATGGCTACCATCTTGTGCGACTATGTCATCGTCGTCGTCATGCATACACACCCACGAACAATACTGCTAGCCATGATAACCATGCAAAAATCTATTCATGGGTTTCCTTTTCTTTCCTATATGGGTATGGGGCTCTGCTTGGCGGCCCTTTGGGCCGCCAGAGCTCCGCTATAATGTAAGAGAGTGTTGCAGTTATTTCTCAGTGATCAAAATGATTGATTTCAACATTATGATACTAATTTGGAGTAAAAGATATGTGTATTTTGTGTGTTCAGAATGCTGTAAATTTGATTTTTCAGGGATACACAAAAACACAATTAAGTGTTTATCTGTGATGAAACTGAAATATGTCGCATGTACTGTAGTTGAGTGCTTACTGCTTATTTTGTCATTGTCTTCATTGCCATTAAATTTAAACAATGCTAGTGGTGTAACATCTTTATCAGAAATAGTAGATTATAAATATTGTATTTCTTTTGGTACATATTCTATTTACATAAACTCTGGAAAATTGTAGCAAAAATATGTCAGACACTGTTTCAAATTACAGTGCTCAGTGGCAGCTTCTAAGAAAAGAAGGGAAATTGTGCAAATTCCTTTGAGTAGCTACTTCTGAATAAAGGGAATAAAGAGAAAAAAGTTTTAAAAAGCTTACCACTCTTGTTGAGGTGTCCTTGCTGTAAAATTAGTGACTTCCTTTCCAGCGATGAACCAAATCCAACTCCAATCTTGTTTGTCAAGATGTGGACAAATAGAGCTTCCCTGAGGAAAGGCTTTGAGTCAGTTGTATACGTAATAGCAGTGCTATATATGTACCTGTGTTTCTGGAGTCTCCTTGACAAGATTTTATATCTTCTCTGTATTCCAGGTGCCTTAAGTCCCTGTTTAGCACTGTATGATGGATTAGAGGTCAAACACATTGAACAGGATGTTATAGGGTAAGCATTGAAACACAACAATCAGACCAATGCTATTAATTATTTGCATGTATTTCCTCCCATGTTGCAGCTGTAAAAGTAGATTATTCCTTTTTTGATGCAATGCTGTGTCATTATGAAGCTTATTATGGGGCTTTCAAGAAAAACAAATTGCTGATTTGAACTTTTTCTTCTTTTTCAGGTATACTGTGACACGGTATGTTGAAGCTCTAGGTCATTTTGAGGCAGCTTCGTCGGTGTACTTGAACACATTGAAATTCTTCTATGGAAATCAAAAAAATGTAAGTTGTCATACAAACCTCTACATTATTCTTATGTACAGTGATTGTTACTCTAAATTCCTGACACAGCCAAAACTTGGGAATATCTAATATTTTGAGGATATCTCTCAAGGAGAGAGTTTTCAAATTTTGTTTTTTATGTTTGCTTACTATAAACAGTCGATGATCATGTGGTTGGTTCTTTTTAGACACCAGAGCATATCATAGCTGCATACAAATATGGATCATTTGAAAAGGTCAGATAACATTGTTAATGTTGGGTAATGTTCTTACTGCATATAGTCATGTAAACAATGAATTCCCTGATCTAATTGATGCTTTGGCTGCGGTAGCTGATAACTCCAAAGGATTTGGTCATTACCCAGTGGGGAGGGGGGGGTGGGTACTCCCTTATATGGGCTATATAGGTATGTGCTGCCCCAAAGGGTAGGGTTTTTCAGCGGTTTTGGTCATAAATAGGTTATCAATTTTGGCCATTTTAGGGTATGATTTTTGCACTCTGCTTTTGAATTAGGTATGTTTCTTAGACGAAGCTACTTTTTCATCATTATCAATAAGACCTTAAACAAAAGCCCTTCATGACTTATGTTTAGGGCAACTTTGTCAGCTGCAATGGTCATTAATAGGGTATCAAAGTTTTGGTCAGGTCATAAATAGGGTAGCAAAGTAGGGAGATTTTGGTCATAAATAGGGTAAGGGTTTTGGGAAGTGGGCCGCACACCACCACCCAACTTTTCTGGAAGTACCCCCACCCCCCATCTTGGTAACATGTGGAGCTACAGTAGCCTTATGACAAGTGCAATTTTTATATCAATATATAATATTAAATTGATTTTAGTACCTTGTGTTTAACAGATCCCTGAATTCATTGATCTAAAAAGAAGGCTTGATCTCTCTCTACATTTCGCTACTGTGAATTATGAAAACATGCTTCTTGAAGTTTTCCTTAAGGCAAACAGGTAATCTATGCATTTGTTTGTTTATCTATTTGTTTCCAATTTTAGCTTAGCAATTTCTCTTTTAAATATGCAAGACGCCATCATTACAAACCATTTTTTTTTTTGTTAGTCTTTCAGATGCTCAAAGTCATTTCACAGAAAATAATCTCCTGGACAAGTGCTCTGTAACAAGTAATTTTTTGTTCTTATTTTATTTTTGTTGTCAACGACTTCCTCCTATGTGTACGTCCGTACCTCACATGTGGTTCATGACTTGGGGTACCAAAAGAGGTCTCATCATAAAGTTACTGGTGCTGACATGCAATTGTTCACACCCTTTCACTTGTCAACATGCAGGTGGCTGCTATTTTTAGCAGTTATAATTGCACAAGATTGCTTTGATAAGTTAGTTTCAAGCAGTGATGTACAAAATAAGAAAGTAAATAAGTAGAGATCTCTCAAATGTGTGAGGCAATAAAATCAATAGGTTGATATTTTAATTGCTAGATCAAAACTGTTATTCCTGCATTACCTAAGACAGAAGGGCAAGTGGAGACAGAGAGAGAGCAAAACTAGTGAGACAATCTCAGATAGTGCAGAGTGCAATTGATAGCTCTGGTACAGTAGTCCCATAAGTACTCACCCCTGCTCAGTTCACTTCCAGTTTGTGTCTACCTTGGTAGTCTGCTACGGCTTTTCCCCTTTGCAGTGTGTATGTTTCAAGGTTGTATTTTCATTCAAGGTCCAAAAATTACACACAAATTAATTACTACTGGTGTTTCACGTTGATTTTCGTTCATTTTAAATTCAATAATACGCTGAAGCAGCAAACGTGACAATTTAGCTCTTCACGCCAACTTTGTAACTTGATACTTTTGTTT